ATTTCAGTCCCCCCTGAACCTGCTGGGGTTTGATGGGGGGGGGGGGGAGAGAGAGAGAGAGAGAGAGAGAGAGAAAGAGAGAGATTTACAGGGGTGTACATTTTTAGATATGTATGTTTAAAAATAATATATATCACATATATTAAATTAATTTAATAGAACAGGGTTTCTGCTTAGCAAAGTGAGGTGTATTTTCACTTTGAAGAGATGTTAGTAAATAAGGTAAACGTGTGTTCACCCAGTCCTGTGCAAGGGTTATTAAAAGCTTTTTTTCCTAGCACATGATTGGTTACTTAAAGTGAATACAGTCTAACCTTATTTACTTTACTCAGTGAAAATTTACTTTGCAAACTGAACAGTTTTTATTCCTTTATTAGTATATCCATCCCATTGCGTGTATGCTTTCTGCATTGAACATCATACACACACAGACACACACAAACAATCGACACATATCCTATTAAATCTATACCTATATCTGTGTATGGAAGCAGTGGCACCCCTCCCCGGCCTAGTGGCACCTATGTCTGGGCCTTATCACACCTTGGTCTGGTCCTGGCTGCAGACAAGGTGATGTCACCTCTGTAAACAGATGTTATCTCTCTCCTTCTCCTTAGGTAGAGTACACACCTAGATCTACGCTGGATATAGCATTACGTTACACAGCAAGATGCTAGCTGGTAGAAAAGCTCTATAGGAGAGTCTGTAGGCCACACTGGATAAAAGACCAGCCAGCAATCACTGGGTTAATGTCACAGCAGTTGCGAATATTTCTAATTTGTGCTACGACAAAACTACACCACAAGTCCCCTCCACCTGCACAGCCCTGCAGCAGACAGCATAGTAAATGACCTTAATAAACAAAAAGGGCAAACATGAAAATGGGCCATGAAAAATACACCGACAATGTGTGCCACAAAGACAGGCCCTAAAAAGAAAGAAATTATACGCAAATAACATTTTTTGGTCGGTTCGTGTTTTTTATTTTGGCTATTTATTTTTATTGGTAATTGTAAAATTGCAGCTAATGTATGTTTGTCATCTGTGGCAAGACCAAATGGCCAATGTATCTCAAATGTTATTACACTAAGGGCCCTGCATCAATGTTTTTATATATCCTACATATAAAGGGCTTTAGATATATTTCATATATATATATATATATATATATATATATATATATATATATATATATATATAGATATATTTCATATATCTATATATATATATATATTTTTTTTAGAAGGCCTTTGATGTTATTTATCAATTTTATATAGTAAAATATAAAGTTAGATACACAAGTGTGCGAATTTATACTTTCCTTCAGTTTAGTAGATAGGGAGGTATAATAGAAAATATGAAAATATACCTATTATTAATGTATAACATAATATTGTATTGTATATAAAATACATACTATACAAAACATATAGATACAAATCTATAATGTGTGTGTTTTTGTATATACATATATATATATTTAGATATGTATAATACACACACACATACATATATATTATGTACAATACATACACATATATATATATATATATATTATATATATATATATATATTTACATACACACATATTTAGATATGTATAATGCACACACACATATATATATTTTATATAATACACACACATATATATTATATATAAAAAAACACACACATATATATAATATATAAAAAACACACACACATACATATATATTATATATAACACACACATATATATTATATATAAAAAACACACACACACACATATATATAATATATAAAAACACACACACATACATACATATATATTATATATAACACACATATATATATTATATATAAAAACACAAACACACATACATATATATTATATATAACACATACATATTATATATAATACACACACAGATTTAGATGATTTATTCATATGGGATGGACTCAGATATTCCATATGTGACATACAATACACAGGCCCATTTAGGTGGAGGCTCTGTGGCCACATGGGAAGGATGTCCTTCACCATAGACATGAATGAGGCCTGTCACACGTGGGCCTTGTGTGAGTCTGCTAACCTGCTGTCATTTGCACTCCCCCTGGCCAGCCTGGACCGAGGCCTATGTGATCTGCTATAAAGGGCTCTGAGCTGCTCTTCTTTCCTGGGATAAAACCGACTCTCTCCCCCCAGTCACTCTGTTGTACCTGACCCTGCTGACATCCATGTAGAGGTCTCTGCACCGAGCAGTTGTGGTACTTTAGGTTGTGATTTTAGTAGTGAGTGCACATTGCTGTACTCATAGTGAAAGCCATGGATTGTCGCAGCACTGTCATTGTGAGACACGACATTCATCTGATTTAGTGTCTTTCACTCTTTTCCCCTCCTTATCACCAGATCGCAGGAGGATCGATTTAAAGACAAGTAGCACATCAGCATGCCATGGAGTAACATCGAATTCCACCTCTCTGAGCAGACTGTGTGCTAAATCCGTCTGTGTTCTGGGACTTCGGGCAAAGAACCATCAGAGGGGAGAGGAGACTGTAGCATCCTATGTATCATCCTGTCATCACCTCTGACATGTGTCATTCACAATGCTGCAGGTTGTCAGCAGAGGGCTGGGTGCTGCCAGGGAGGTGGATGATTGGAGATGACCGGGGATAGACTTGATTGTTTTCAAATGATACAATACAATCATACAATCAAACTCATGCCCATGTCTGCAATGTATAAGCAGGAAAGGCAACCTATCAGGTCCATCATATACACGTTTACGTGTGTGCCATATATGTGTGTCATACATGTGTGTCATACATGTGTGTTATATATGTGTGTCATACATGTGTGTTATATATGTGTGTTATATATGTGTGTTATATATGTGTGTGTATATATGTGTGTCATACATGTGTGTCATACATGTGTGTCATATATGTGTGTCATACATGTGTGTTATATATGTGTGTTATATATGTGTGTCATATATGTGTGTCATATATGTGTGTTATATATGTGTGTCATATATGTGTGTTATATATGTGTGTTATATATGTGTGTCATATATGTGTGTCATATATCTGTGTTATATATGTGTGTCATATATCTGTGTTACATATGTGTGTTATATATGTGTGTCACATATGTGTTGTTACATATGTGTGTTATATATGTGTGTTACATATATATATAAAAATAAAAATAAAAATGTAAATATATATATATATATATTTTACACATATTTATATATATATATATATATATATATATATATATATATATATATATATATATATATATACACACATTCTTTATATGTAGATAGATATGTGTGTATCTATACATCATCTATGTATTTTTCATACACACACACACACACACACACACACACACACACACACACACGTGTATATATATATATATATATATATATATATATATATATATATATATATATATACACACACACACATTCTTTATATGTAGATAGATATGTATCTATACATCATCTATGTATTTTTCATACACACACACACACACACACACACACACACACGTGTATATATATATATATACACACACACATTCTTTATATGTAGATAGATATGTATCTATACATCATCTATGTATTTTTCATACACACACACATATATATTCACCCATTTTAGGAAGGACGGACACTCCGAGCACAGGGTAGAGGAGCACACATTGATCTCATTTTGATTTTTTTATGCCTTGTGACTACCTGGCACATTAACCCCTTGTGTACCCTGTAGCCAGTTTTCCCTCTATTTTTAGCGATGCAGAATATTTTGGGGGATGGGGGTGCAGGATGCTGAATGGGACCTTAACATTTTGGTAACCCTTAGGAAGGATTGTCCTTGCCCCCACCCTGGCACAGGGCACACCACCCAGTCTGAGCTAGTAATTGGCTGGGGGATGGGGGGGGGGGTGCCATTGGCCATCATTATTGCAAGCTACCACTGACAGGCTATTCGATCGGCGATGGGGTGGGGGGGGGGGGGGGGGTGGGGGAAATTAACCGCTTGTGCCAGCCGGGCCCGAATCAGGGGTCTCCTGGAAGGAAAGGGTTAAGATGGCAGGGTGTTGGTGGGCACCCCCTGGCCGTGGCTCACCTGCACCCCCTCCCCTCCCCCACGTTGTACCCCGCTCACACCCACCTGCAGGGCTGTCCTGCCAAAGCGGTTGGGCTCATCCACGTTGGGCGAAGTCGTGAGCAGGTCCTCCAGAGTGTGCAGGTCCCCCCGGGCAGCCGCCGTTGTCATCAGGTCCGCCAGAGGCTGTGCCATGCTGGGCGGTGGGCTCCTGGGCAGGGCGGCGGGTTATTGGGGCATGGCATAGAGCAGCCTGACAGCCGGGGCTCGGAGCGAATAGGGGGATCGTAGTAAATACTCGTAAAAAAGTTGGTGCCAGGGCCCCGCCCCCCCGGGCACACGTGATGAGCAGATATTTGTGCAGCCTCCCCTCTCTCACTATGCGATCTCCTCTCCCCATCAGCCGGCCTCCTCTTCTACCTGTCCCTGTCCTCCTGATCCTCTGCCCCGTGCAGCCTCCATCCCTCCATCTGTGGACCTCCACTCCCCTCCTCCAGCCTGCAGGACCTGACTCCTGGCACGTCTGTCATCTGCTTTCCTAACATCCAATCCCCTCCTATAAATGGGCACATTTCCGAAACACTCAAGCAGGGACCCATGGCAACCAATAAAATTCCTTCATTCATCTTGGGCTCACCACACACCTTACAATCTGTCCATACAATCTGTGTGCAATCACCCAAAACTGTGGAATATGAGGACCTACCCAGGGGCAGACTGACAACTCAAGGGGCCCCCGGGCAATAGGGGATCATGGGGCCCCTGTGTCCTTGTCCAAATTCAAAAAAGCCTATAAAAAGGTACGAGGGGCATCTCATGAGGCCCCCTACTGACCCCGGGCCCTCGGGTAGTGCCCGAGTTTCCAAATGGTCAGTCCGCCCCTGGACCTACCTAATCTATCAATATATATGTCCTGTAATAATTGATTGCACTACACAGTTGATGGTATATCTGAAGGAGATCGAACAATCAGATTGTGTACAGTTACCTTGGGGTCACACATTATAAACTGACCACTGACACTTCATCCAATCAGCTTGCATCCAATCAGGCAGGCCCTTATATATATATCTATCCTTTAATAATCGATTGCACTACACATTTAATGGTAGACCTGTAGGAGATTGAACAATCAGATTGTATTCTGTACTTTAGTATCACCATACACCTTACAATCTTTACAAAATGAACTTTAGATTTACAATAAAACTATGTCATACAAGCACCTGATAGATCCGATCATTTGGTATCCAATCAGACAGGCCCTTGCACTACAAAGGCTATGGTAGATCTGAAGGAGATTGTACAATCAGATTGTATAGTGTACAGTCTTTTTAGGGTCACCATGCACATTACAAACTGATCTTACAATCTTCAACTTTAGATTTACCAAAACTATGTCCTATGAGCACCTACCTCATTCATCCAATCATTTTGTATCCAATCAGGCATGCCCTTACACTATATAAATATCTCCTGCATTAAACCGATTGCACTACACAATTGTTGATCTGAGGGAGACTGAACGATCGGATTGTATAGTGTACTGTAACTTCAAGGTCACCATACACCTTACAAACGTCACAAAATCAAATGTAGATTTACCACACTGTGTCCTATGAGCACCGGCCTATTATTTTGTATCCAGTCAGGCAGGCCCTTGCACTACAAATGTCATGGTAGATATGAAGGAAATTGTACAATCAGGTTGTATAGTGTATGGTCAGCGTTCAATTTGTGATAAACAACATAATTTACCAATCACTCTGTAATCTGAGGTCCTCCATATATTTACCTCCTCAGGTTATATCTTGTCAATTAGATCAGATAGCAGATCATATCTGACTATGTGTGGCCTATATTCATCCAGTTCTTCATATATTAATCATTGTGCTCACGTGGTCTATACAAGCTTGAGCAAATAGAAGTGGGCCACCCAATCAGGATTCAGCTTTCATTATGTACTGAGATCAGATTGTAATATGTATGGTGACCCTAAGGTGGCTGTACTGTATACAATCTGATTGTTTAATTTCCCTTAGATCTACCATTAACTGTCTAATGTAAGGTCTGCCTTGATTTGATGCACATTTGGGTTGATATACTAAAGGCAACTAGACTGTGTACTTTGCAAGTGCAGTTGCTGTAGTAAATGTGGCGAACCTCTGCTGACTTTCATTATCCAATCATGTGCAAGCAAAAAAAAAAAAATTGAAATTTTATCTTCCTTGCATGTGATTGGGTGTTTTGTGCAAAGTGAATCTTTACTTCACTTACTAAACTCTGGAGCAACTGGACTTGCAAAGTGCACAGTCTGTTTAGGAAATCAACCCTATTGAGTGGACTGTTTAGGTGCGTCCCTCTATGACATAGTTCTGATAAACGTAAAAGAGATTGTACAGAGATTGCACATTCAGGTTGTACAGTGTATGGCCAACATCAGTGCAGATGTACAAAAATTGAATTAGAAATAGCAGATTATGGTGATGTCGTTTCTTGTAGCAACCAATGACATCTATTGCTTGCTGCGAGTAACTGCTTCAGGTTGCAAAAAATGGGTTTCACCTCTGGATCTAAGTGTTCCTCCAGATTGTATGAACCCTCCAGATTGTATGAACCCTCCAGATTGTATGAACCCTGCAGATTGTATGAACCCTCCAGATTGTATGAACCCTCCAGATTGTATGAACCCTCCAGATTGTAGGAACCCTCCAGATTGTAGGAGCCCTCCAGATTGTAGGAGCCCTCCAGATTGTATGAGCCCTCCAGATTGTATGAACCCTCCAGATTGTATGAGCTCTGCAGATTGTATGAACCCTGTATATTGTATGAACCCTGTAGATTGTAGGAACCCTCCAGATTGTAGGAACCCTGTAGATTGTAGGAACCCTCCAGATTGTACGAACCCTGTAGATTGTACGAACCCTGTAGATTGTACGAACCCTGTAGATTGTATGAACCCTGTATATTGTATGAACCGTGTAGATTGTATGAGCCCTGCAGATTGTATGAACCCTCCAGATTGTACGAACCCTGTAGATTGTATGAACCCTCCAGATTGTATTGTATATGTATGAACCCTGTATATTGTATGAACCCTGTATATTGTATGAACCCTGTAGATTGTATGAACCCTCCAGATTGTAGGAACCCTCCATATTGTACAAACCCTGTAGATTGTACGAACCCTGTATATTGTATGAACCCTACAGATTGTACGAACCCTGTATATTGTATGAACCCTGTATATTGTATGAACCCTACAGATTGTACGAACCCTACAGATTGTATGAACCCTCCAGATCTGTCCTACAATTTTTCATGTGTCTAATTTATCTGAGATAGGAATCAGATCCACTACAAAAGTGTAAAGAGTGCCATGTGACTTACTGTGTGTCCCTGGTGGGATTTGCAGGGATTGTCCACCATGATTGGTCCACAGTGTAGAAATATTTTGTGGCTTACAGTCACTAACATATATTTTTTTTCGCCCACACGTTTAGCCTTCAGGTCGTTGAATTCTTCAGCCTCCAGTGATGATGCAACCTCCAGGAAGTGTCGGCTCTCCCCCTTAGAGACCGAACCTGCCCCCAGCTGCTGAACAATCTGCAGACTCCGCAAGAAGGATCCATGGAAGGGCTTATGGAGGCCAGAGTATAACATCCATGCAGGGGCAGCCTCCAGGATACGAAGTAGACAACCTCCAGGACACGAAGTGGGCAGCCTCCAGGACACGAAGTGGGCAACCTCCAGGACACGAAGTGGACAACCTCCAGGACAAGAAGTGGGCAACCTCCAGGACAAGAAGTGGGCAACCTCCAGGACAAGAAGTGGGCAACCTCCAGGACAAGAAGTGGGCAACCTCCAGGACAAGAAGTGGGCAACCTCCAGGACACGAAGTGGGCAACCTCCAGGACACGAAGTGGGAAGTGGGCAACCTCCAGGACACGAAGTGGGCAACCTCCAGGACAAGAAGTGGGCAACCTCCAAGACAAGAAGTGGGCAACCTCCAGGACAAGAAGTGGGCAACCTCCAGGACAAGAAGTGGACAACCTCCAGGACACGAAGTGGGCAACCTCCAGGACACGAAGTGGGCAACCTCCAGGACACGAAGTGGGCAACCTCCAGGACAAGAAGTGGACAACCTCCAAGACAAGAAGTGGGCAACCTCCAGGACAAGAAGTGGGCAACCTCCAGGACAAGAAGTGGGCAACCTCCAGTAGGGCAAATAGGTGGCCGGAAGCACCATAAGTAGATGAACTTCTGTAGAACATCAAAAGCAGAAAGTAGAACTGGCAGCACTGTAAGTGGGCAACTGACAATTAAGTCAAGTAGGTGGCCTCCAATATGATCAGCAGAAAGTCTCCAATACAGAAAGCAGAGGGCCTCCAAAATGATGATTAGGGGGCCTCCAACGTGATCAGTTAGAGAGCCTTCAATAGGATCAGAAGAGATACTTCAGTGAGGAAAGTAGAGAGCTTCCAATGCGGTAAGTTGCACACCTGCAGAAGGTGAAGGTCCTCAATATATCATATAGACGATCTACAGTTCTTTGTTGGAAGACTTCATCCTTCGACTCCAGTACAGTAAGTGGCCTCCAGTACAGTAAGTGGCCTCAGTAGAGCTGATATCGGGGTCGGTGTAGAGGACACATTATCATGAAGATCGTCCAGGCCGGCCGGCGTCTCGGTAGATCGGAGCTCTCAGCCTCCCTGGAAGGTTTCCTCCCTCCATCCCTCAGAAATAACCGTTAGCCGTTACAGCAGCTTACTGAAGAACACCGGAGCAGCCTCCCCGTCCCCTCTCCACTCCTTGTAGTGTCCTATGTGCCCAATGGTGAGCCCGCACCCGTCCCCCTGCTCGTGTACTTCTGGGCCCGATTATTCCCCCCCGCACTCCGCTTACCAGACTCAGTCTCAGGATCCATCTCTCCCGCTCCTCTGCTCCTTCTCACCTCTGAGTTCTCATTTCTCCCTGCACCCTGTCATCCTCTATCATCCTCTGCTGTCACTGTCATCCTCTATCATCCTCTGCTGTCACTGTCATCCTCTATCATCCTCTGCTGTCACTGTCATCCTCGTCCTCTGTCATCCTCTGTTTTCTCCTGTCATCCTCCGCTGTCACTGCCCTCCTGTGCTGCTGCCACTGTTGCACCTGCTCCTCTCTCCCCTGTCAGAACATTTCTTCCATAGACATTCTCCTCCTATCCGCCCGGATTTCTTTCTGCTTGCATCCAATCTTCCTAGATCCCCATACTAAACCCCTCTCCTACACTGCACTCCCCCCCCCCCCCCCCCCCCAATGTGACCTCTACCCTCCCCACTGACACCGAACTACACCACACATCTCCTCTCCGTCCTGACATCCCAAACTCACACATCTCCCCCTCAAACACTGCACTCCAGCTCACATCCCCCGCACACACTGCACCCCAACTCACACATCTCCCCCCCCCAAACACTGCACTCCAGCTCACATCCCCCGCACACACTGCACCCCAACTCACACATCTCCCCCCTCACACACTGCACCCAAACTCACACATCCCCCACACACTGCACCCCAACTCACACACATCTCCCCCCTCACACACTGCACCCCAACTCACACACACACTCATCTCCCCCCTCATCTCCCCCCCCACACACTGCACCCCAACTCACACATCCCCCACACACTGCACCCCAACTCACACATCCCCCACACACTGCACCCCAACTCACACATCTCCCCCCTCACACACTGCACCCCAACTCACACATCCCCCACACACTGCACCCCAACTCACACATCCCCCACACACACTGCACCCCAACTCACACATCCCCCACACACTGCACCCCAACTCACACATCTCACCCCCCCACACACTGCACCCCAACTCACACATCCCCCACACACTGCACCCCAACTCACACATCTCCCCCCTCACATACTGCACCCCAACTCACACATCCCCCACACACTGCA